AAATAAATAAAAATAACACCGGGAAACCCTTAGGTCCTCTCCCCAGTTCCCGGCACACATTTTAACTGGCTTTCTTGCTTCCTGTCCCCCCCCCTTTTATGGTTTCCCCAAAACTTCACGTTTCTCTCTTAGAGGATCCCAGCCCCATCCAGACCTTCAAGCAAATCACAGAAAAGGCAGGAGGGGTTTCGTTATTTCCAGAAAGCCACGGTATCTTCCACTGGAACGCTTTTAATCAAATTCAAGATTCGTACAGAGCCGTGAGAAAGGTCGCTGGGTTTAGGGGGTGCCGGACCGAGGCTGGAAAAGGGGCCTCCTTCCTGTCCCCGGGTGCCCATCGGGGCCTCATCCTGACAAGACCGAGGGGGGGGGCAAACCAGCGCGGGGCCAAGAGGGAACAGATAACACTGTCCGGAGAGGGAAAAATGACGAACGGATGCAGTTCTCAGTCTGACCGCCGAGAGAAACACTGAATAAGGGTTTGCCACGGCTTAACTACCACAGTCCCGATCCGAGCGCGGCCTTGCGCCGTCTCGGATGGAGCAGGGCTCCTCGCTGGCCAGAGAGGGGCAAAGCGTCTGGGAGACGGACGGGATCCCCGCCTGCCTTTTTCCGTTAGAGTCCCGTCGCCGCTTCCGCTGGGTTTCCCGCGCGGGCAGGAGCGTCCGGCCGCTCAGATGGATTCAATCTGTTTGCGCACTTTTTCCAGGGCCTTGCGGTCGAGGACCCGCTGGCGGCAGACCACCAGCAGGGCGAAGAGGGCTGCCGCCCCCAGCATCGCCCCCTCGAACTTCCAGAAGAGCCGGGCTTCCATGTCCGCGGAACGGCAGCTGTGAGGAGAGGGAAGACAGCGGTGCGCGTGTGTGAACGTGGTGGTGTCTGAGGGAGCCCACACCTACGCACATGGGCGAGCGCAGGGACAGACACGCTTCCCGAGAATCACTGCGCCATCAGGCGGGTGGGGGGGAACGGCAGGGATTTTTAGAGGGTCCCCGGAACTCAGCTCCCCAAGACCCCACCGGAAAACGAAAAGAAGGCCAGACGCACGTCTAAATTTGTGCGCTCCTGCGTTCTCTTTAATACAACCTCCGATCCCTGAATGACAGATTGTGGAGTCCACATGATGAGAACAAGAGACATCTCTTAAAAGAACGACAAAATGAGGGCGCACAGAAGCACAACACTGGGAGAGACGAGGTCCAAAGCGTGGCCCCGTCGCATGCCATCGCTTCCTCGTGGGGCAAAGCTCATTTCTACGCCACAGTTTTCTACATTTTTTCAAAGCACCAATTCCCGCCCCGTGGCCACCGATCCCAGCTCTGCGTGCCGAAATCCTCTGGATCATGCGAACGTTTTGATCCTCGCTCTACTCCCCATGCTTTCCCTCCTGAAACTCGAGCAATTTGTATTTCAAAAGCCCTTAGCAGAACCCTTCGGTCCGAGGTTAAAGCCAGCTCGCTATAGAAGACAACCTGGAGGTACGAAAGGCTTCCGCAAAGCACCGATACAGATTCGCTTTCAATTCCCATTCATCTCAAGATCAATAAAATCAACCCAGCCAAAGTGACGGCTGGAGACAGGACATCAGAGCCTCGAGGACAATTTCCCCACTCTATAAATGGGGCCCCACATTTCTGCCCCCCATACCTCTTGAATTCGCCTTTCTTGGAAGCGCTGCAGTTAATCTGCTCCACAAAGCCAGTCACGCTGCATTCTGGCATTGTTTTCTACAAGCAAGAGAAGAGGTGAGTTAAAAACCCAGCCACTTACTTACTTATTTGTTTGTTTGTTTTTAATTGTGTGTTTGTTTTATCGGCCACCTTTCTCCTGATAAGGGGACCCAAGGAGGCCCACAATAAGAAAAAAAAGACAGAATTAACATCATAATAAATTAAGCATTGAAACAAAGTTAAACTGTATGCTAATTTAAAAAGGACTGAAAAAATAAAAGCAAGTAAACACTAACAACTATCTAAGCCTTTAAAAGGCACTTATTTGTCTGTGTTTAGAAAAAGTATCAATGTTCCTATTTATAATCTTAAGAATAATCCTCTTGGAACTGCAAAGCTGAAAGGGAGAATGATGAGGACTAGAATCTTAAATGTTTGGTTTGTAAAAAGGAGGACAACCCACCATCCTAAATACTCAGACAAAGGGAACAAAGAACTGGCTCAGCGGAAAGCATCCTTTTATACACCTAAATATCCAGACGTGTGCGAGCAGCTCTCATTGGTAAGTCTTTATATCAACGGCCCCCAAGCTTAGGTGCCCCCTGATGTTCTTGGACTACAACTCCCAGTAGCCTTCACCACAGACGGTAATGGTCAGGATTTCTGGGAGATGTAGTCCAAGAACACCTGGGTCTCACGAGGTGGGAGCCACTGGTTAATACACTCCAGTTCTCACGCTGGTGGGTCAGATCTCCTCCCAGTTCCCTCCCCCTCGGCAACCCCATGATCTCCCACTAACGGCTCTCCAGGCAGAGGTGCACGTACCGCCTGAAAGCTCGTGCAGGGGCCGCACTCCACCGTCACCACAAAGTCGCCCGTCCGCCAACACGGCGTGGTCCCCAGCACGCTCACTGCAAGAAACCAAGGGGGTTAAAATAAGTACCCATCTCACTGGGTAAGCCAATGTGTTCCTTGCATGATTATGCTAGAGAGAGCGCTGTAGCGCTATGGAGCTGTCTCTAACTCGAAAGGATGAATGAAATAAAGAAATGAATGAGGACACGGGTGAGATTTAGAAATCCGCCATCCACGTTTTCAAGAGATGAAGGTTAGGCCACTGATCCCCAACTTTGGGTCCCCAGATGTTCTCAGACTACAACTCCCAGAAGCCTTTTCTCCACCAGCTGTACCGGCCAGGATTTCTGGGAGTTGTAGTGTGAGAATATCTGGGGAGCCCAGGCTGGGGAGCAACTCGGCGAAACAGCCATCCGGACGGCATATCTTTCCATCCTTCCCAAGCCATCCACGTTTTGGCCCAGCGATGCCTCACTGTCTCGGAGTGGGGAGGTGGAAGCTAACAGCACAAAACACACAATACCAAAACAAAATGTCTTCTCACCTGGATTTTTCCCGTTGTTTTCGAAAGCCACCTCTGCCAACCTACAGACGGGCAGGAAAATAGAAAAATGACACCATAAATTAAGTGAGATAATTCATTCAAGAAATAAGGGCTGCCGGCCATTAAATTTCCGAGAGTGTTACAGCCTTGGATTCACTTGCTTTGAATTCTTCATTCACACTTTCCCCCCATTTCCGTAACGTCTTTTTAAAAACTGTACCACTGAAGGGAGCGCTTATCTTTCACGAGCTGCTAAAACTTCATTTTATTTATTTACGTGCTGCCTTTCTGCCCAGAGGAGACCCAAGGCGGCTCACAACAACCCTACAAAAATAACAAGAGTTTTTATTTTATTTTATGGGTAAAAATAACAATATTAAACTGTTGTCCATAAAGAGGGGGGGGGCGAAACCCCATTAAACCCAGTTTTAAAAATCTGGAGCTATAAAACGGATCCCAGATCTCCCTTCGTGCCAAGACCCCCCCCCCCAAACAAAGACTTGTGCTACTGGGCAAGAAAAGGGCCTTTTCAGCTGGGGTTGAGGGGTGGGGGGCAAATCTAGATAAAAGAAACAGTCCAAAGAACTCAGTGCATTAAACAGACTCTTAAAATCTAAATTGGAGGCAGGCTATAGAAAATTCAAAATTAATCTGTTAGGCACTGTCCTTAAATTTCTCTTCTCTCTCTCTCGATTTCTGGTGGATCAGAGACCAGAGAGAGAGAGAGAGAGACAGAGACACACATATAGGCTGCCAAGGTGGCGCCTTCTTGGCCTGCGGGACTACAAAGCCCATCACACCCAGCAGCACCCGCAGCAGGGCCTTGGGGGGCGTGGGGGACGATGGGAGGTGTAGTTCTAACCTACCTGGAAGGCCTCTGGCCTGAGGGGGTGGGTGGGTGAATTGTCTGGAGGGGGGGATTTAAGGGAGATGTTGATGGACTACAAC